AGAGGGAGAGAGAGGAGAAAAGAATTAGGAAGATTAAGTTTAATAGTTATTCTATCAATAATATTTTTGCTCAATAAAATTCATCACAATTATAATATCTTAAAAATTTGCAAAACGATAACAATTATATAATTCTTAAATATTTAAACGTAAAATACGTGAAAATTTTCACGTGAAAAAAAAAGAAAGGTAACATATGAACGTAAAATACGTAAAAATGATTATGTAAAAGAAGAAAACGAGGCAAAATATATGATTATGTAAAATATTAGAGTAAAAAAAAAAAAGGAAAGTAATGAAATGAATTAATTAAAAAATAAAAATTCCCAAAATTTTTTAAGAAAAAAAAATTTTAAATTTTCAAAATAAAAAAAAAAGCAAGAAAACGTAATAGTTTACACTTCGAAATTTTTTGTTTTTTTGCATGCTTTTTTTTCAAATAATTAAAATTGCAAAAAAAAAAAAGCACAATTTCAATATTTTCAATTTTTTTTGCGCGAAACCTTTTATTAAAAAAAAAAAATTTAATCTTTGACAATTTTTTAGCTTCTCCTCTCAAAAGTATGCGACAGAAAAAATTAATTAATTAATTAAATGAAAGAAATTTTTGATAGTTGCATTGCATTGGTTGAAACAAACTGGAAAGGAACTTTTTTTTCCCCTTCCTTTTCTTTTGTCACAGTAATTAAATTGTCACCATTAATAAAGATATTAGACGCAAAGTTAATTTAAGCATTGTGCGAATAAATTACCAAATGAACTGTAATAAGCACAAAATTTGAATAAATTTATTAATTTTGTTTGTTTGTTTGTTTTTTTTTTTTTTTTTTTTTGCTTATTACTAGTTATGAATATCATAATAATTATTACTGTAGCTAATGATTTTATTTATTAATAGAAGAAAAAAGAAAGTTAAATTGAAACTCAAGAAAAAAATGGAAAAACAATAGAATTTTGTTTATAGGAAGGTTGATTTACAAAAAAAAGAAAAAATTAAAATGTAATAATTATATTACGATTACCGTACATGAAAATACATTGTTAGTAAAAAATTATTAGCAATTAGTAACTAGTAATTATGGGTAATTAAATTAGTGATAAAATTTGATAAGCCTAACTGCTAATTTATAATTAATGAATTGGTAAAAATTTTGAAATTATTTAAATTTCAAAAATTTCATAAGCTATCCGTTATGAAATGTTAATAATTAATTTCTCAAATATACCATCGAAATGTACGATTGCAATCAACTAACCTAAATTAATTACAGACTGTTATGATATAATTATAGCTTTCAAAATTGTTTAAAAATATAATTTGTTTGTATAATTATTTCATTACTTAATATTTGACTATTCATAATTTAATAATTTTTTATTACAATTAAATGATTTCCCCAATATATTCATATCCATTTACATATTTGTTAACATTTAAAAAAAATAATTTAATTTAAATTATTCCCTGTGAATGATATATTGATAAAACGAGATTATTTTTATTTTTTGACAAAAAAAAAAAACAAAAATTTATGGATTTTTTCCAGACATCAAAATAGGAAAAAAATTGATTAAAACTTTTTCTTTTATTCTGAATGATTGTTGTTCAATTTAATTACCATTTCATTTTTAGTTATTTATTTCCGATATGTTATCTCTAAATAAAATCTTGGTGACAACTTCCTTTTTTTTTTTATCTTGTACGACATATCATTACTTTCATTTGAATAGGGAAAAGAGAAAGTTTACTACTCTTTGTTGAAAATGTTTGATGAATTTGGAAAGTAAAAGAGAAGAAATGAGGGAGAGATGAAATAAAAGAAAAATAATGAAATTTTTAGGATAAAAAATTATTTTATTTTAAAAAAGTTATTAAAAAAAAAACTTTTTTTCAAAATTACTGAAATTTATCATCATATTTGGATTTTGTTAATTAATTTG